CTGAGCAGCGGCGTGGTGGCAGCGTGGGTGGCAGCATGGCCCACTGCTGGTGCCTCACCGCCGGCACCACTACCACCACCACATTTTCCATCACAATTGCAACAGTATCTTCGTCATTTTCACTGTCTGTTCCTGTTGTACAGCCACGGGATGTACTCCGAGATACACTCCTTCCCCTTGGTATAACATATGGCACACTACCAGAGCGCATATATCGTCGTATATACTGACGCTTCACTGGGGAATATTGCACTTCACTACACTACTGGAACTAGTTTGAAGAGCTTGTAGTTCATATTCACTATCACTATCATCACCCATGCTCCATCTGAGTCTGGGATTTGGGAAAATAGAAGTTTCCTCTTGGGTTCTGGAACAACTGAACGTGAACAAGAGGGCCCAGCACCAGAGGTGGAAGGCTGAGGGTCGTCTGGGTTTTCCTCACTATTACCGATATTATGGTCATTAGTTTCGGTCAAAACCTCACTAAAACCACGAAACTCATCTTCACTGGCACTTCCATCACTATTAGAACTGTCACTGAGGAACAAAAGTGTCCCAATTCGCCGAGGAGTGAGGACCTTCTTACCGCGAGGCATGGTGGACATTGTTTACTAAGAGGGCATTCCCACAATGCACCACTGGGTCCCAGATTTTTTTTCTACCGCGCACACCGACCACGCAGACCCATTCTCTCACACCTAGGCCTACCAGCCTTTTCGCGCGAGATTTGAGGCCGCTAGAATTTATGCGCACTAGTACGTCAAAAACTCCTATGCGTAAGACGTACTAGTACGACCAAAACCCTCAAAGGGTTAATGATTCTCCAGGAATAAACCGTGACAATAATAATAATAGTCAGTCATTCACAGAATTATAAAAGTTTACTCTACCTACTATTAACCCTTTGACTGTCGCAACCCCAAATCTTGAGGTGTCTCCTGGTGTCGCAAAATATTTGAAAAAAAAAAAAAAAAAAAAGACACCAAAAGTACGCAATTTGATGGAAAACTAACGGAATTACGCTCTCGTGAAGTTAGTGACCTCGACGATATTTACGAATCAGCGATTTTGCCCACTTTAAGCCCTATTTTCGTCTAATTCCATTGTTCCAGTCGACCAAACTCATAGCTATTTCTTTAGAACTCCATTTGCTCTATTGAGTCAGTACAAGAAACTGCCCATTTACCAATTTCAACTACCCAATAAAGTGGGTTGGTAGGTAAGACACATAGGCAACAGTTAGGCAACTTTATTCCAAAACGTTTCACCTACACAGTAGGCTTCTTCAGTTGTGTACAGAAAGTAGGCTGGAACAGTAGAGATGTGAAGACAATGTAATCAATCCATCACCTTTGAAGTCGTAGATTTGAGGTTGTCAGTCCCTTAGCCTGGAGAAGTTCAGTTCCATAGTCTGGAACTATCTGAAGATCAAGCGATAGTGCGAAGACTTAAATATTGTCAGAAGGAGAGGTGAAGAGTAGTAGTAGTGAGAGTGCAGCCACTGATAGGTCATGTCCCTCTCAGATCAAACAATTCTCACTTGAAAAAGTTGTCCAAGGTGTTTTCTGTACCAAGATGCCATTGTGTTGCAGTGTCTGACAGGGTGAATATCAAAATGGTATACAATGCCAACAGGTCAGTATTGTATACCATTTTGATACCCAATAAAGTGGTCAGAAACTGGCAATTTGACCAATTTCACGTAAATTAAAAAAAATATGCCAATTTCAAAATAGGGTCCAGAATGAACAATGCAGACATTCCTGGCTCTAAAACAACATTTTCTTTGTTCATCAGACACATCTCCAGGCCCCTCTGATATTACTCTTGCTTTCTATTTTGAATTTTTATTCAAACAAAAACATAGAAGATTTACTGTTATGCAGACTACTGCAATATTGTAATAATTGTATAAATAATGCCAACCCATTCATGACTGCATATCAGAATGGCTAGTTGGACATTTATTGGACAATGATGTCATTTGTTTACTCTTAAACATCGGCAAAAATAAAACATTTCCCCTACTTTGAGCTCCATTTCAAGGTCCTTTTCATAGTAAAACCAATCAAAATCACCTCAATTTCTATAATATGTTTTCCATTCTATCAAGTGTGACTATGAAAATGAGAATATAACCATAAAAAATATACGAAAATACACCTCAAAGTTGGCGTTTTAATCCAAAAACAAGGATGGAGTTTTTTTTTTCTCATTATGCACTGCTTGCTGCAGGAGTTTTTTTTATACTACACACACTGACCACACAGACTCATTCTCTCACATGTGGGCCTACCAGCTTTCTCTCGCTTGATTTGAAGCCACTAGAATTTTTGAGTATATATATGTCAAACACATTGATTCGTAAGACATATACATACGACTGAAACAGTCAAAGGGTTAAGAGATAATAAGTACAAGACAAATGGCAGCTGACATTTCACTATTACAAAAGTCACCAGACTGTAACATAGTAAACTCCTTACCAAATTCATCATCACTTTTACCTCTATAAATATGCCAACATAAAAATTTGGCAGAGAGCATGTATAGTCCCTTTATATAAAGGGAAGGGAGACAAAAGAGATTGCAAAAATTATAGAGGAATAAGTTTACTGAGTTCTAGGTAGTAGGCTGGTAGCCAGCAACCGCCCAGGGAGGTACTACCGTCCTACCAAGTGAGTGTACAACGAAAGCCTGTAATTGTTTTACATGATGGTAGGATTGCTGGTATCCATTTTTCTGTCTCATGAACATGCAAGGTTTCAGGTACGTCTTGCTACTTCTACTTATACTTAGGTCACACTACACATACATGTACAAGCAAATATATACATACATACCCCTCTGGGTGTTCTTCTATTTTCTTTCTAGTTCTTGTTCTTGTTTATTTCCTCTCATCTCCATGGGGAAGAGGAACGGAATTCTTCCTCCGTAAGCCATGCATGTCGTAAGAGGCGACTAAAATGCCGGGAGCAAGGAGCTAGTAACCCCTTCTCCTGTATATATTACTGAATGTAAAAGGAGAAACTTTCGTTTTTCCTTTTGGGCCACCCCACCTTGGTGGGATGCAGCCGGTGTGTTGAAAGAAAGAAGTTTATTGAGTATACCAGGAAAAGTGTACGGTAGGATTATTACTGAAAGAATTAGAGGTAAGACAGAATGTAGAATTGCAGATGAGCAAAGAGGTTTTAGAGTGGGTAAGGGATGTGTAGATCAAGTGTTTACATTGAAGCATATATGTGAGCAGTATTTAGATAAAGGTAGGGAAGTTTTTATTGCATTTATGGATTTAGAAAAGGCATATGATAGAGTGGATAGGGAAGCAATGTGGCATATGTTGCAAGTATATGGAATATGTGGTAAGTTACTAAATGTTACAAAGAGTTTTTATGAGGATAGTGAGGCTCAGGTTAGGGTGTGTAGAAGAGTGAGACTATTTCCCGGTAAAAGTAGGTCTTAGACAGGGATGTGTAATGTCACCATGTTTTTTTTTTTTTTTTTTTCAACAAGTCGGCCGTCTCCCACCGAGGCAGGGTGACCCAAAAAAGAAAGAAAATCCCCAAAAAGAAAATACTTTCATCATCATTCAACTCTTTCACCACACTCACACATTATCACTGTTCTTGCAGAGGTGCTCAGAATACAACAGTTTAGAAGCATATACATATAATGATACACAACATATCCCTCCATGGTTGTTTAATATATTTATAGATGGGGTTGTAAAAGAAATAAATGCTAGGGTGTTCGGGAGAGGAGTGGGATTAAATTATGGAGAATTAAATACAAAATGGGAAGTGACACAGTTACTTTTTGCTAATGATACTGTGCTTATGGGAGATTCTAAAGAAAAATGGCAAAGGTTAGTGGAGGAATTTGGGAGTGTGTGTAAAGGTAGAAAGTTGAAAGTGAACATAGAAATGAATAAGGTGATGAGAGTATCAAATGATTTAGATAAAGAAAAATTGGATATCTAATTGGGGAGGAGGAGTATGGAAGAAGTGAATGTTTTCAGATATTTGGGAGTTGACGTGCCAGCGGATGGATTTATGAAGGATGAGGCTAATCATAGAATTGATGAAGGAAAAAGGTAAGTGGTGCATTGAGGTATATATGGAGGCAAAAAATGTTATCTATGGAGGCAAAGAAGGGAATGTATGAAAGTATAGTAGTACCAACACTCTTATATGGGTGTGAAGTTTGGGTTGTAAATGCTGCAGCGAGGAGGCAGGTGGGGGAAGTGGAGATGTCCTGTCTAAGGGCAATGTATGGTGTAAATATAATGCAGAAAATTTGGAGTGTGGAAATTAGGAGGTGTGGAGTTAGTAAAAGTATTAGTCAGAGGGCTGAAGAGGGTTTGTTGAGGTGGTTTGGTCATTTAGAGAGATTGAATCAAAGTAGAATGACATGGAGAGCGTATAGATCTGTAGGGGAAGGAAGGCGAGGTAGGGGTCGTCCTCAAAAAGGTTAGAGGGAGGGGGTAAAGGAGGTGTTGTGGGCGAGGGGTTTGGACTTCCAGCAAGCATGAGCGAGCGTGTTAGATAGGAGTGAATGGAGACAAATGGTATTTGGGACCTGACGATCTGTTGGAGTGTGAGCAGGGTAATATTTAATGAAGGGATTCAGGGAAACTGGTTATTTTATATAACCGGACTTGAGTCCAGGAAATGGGAAGTACAATGCCTGCACTCTAAAGGAGGGGTTTGAGATATCGGCAGTTTGGAGGGATATATAGTGTATTTTTATACATATATACTTCTAAACTGTTGTATTCTGGGCACCTCTGCAAAAACAGATTATGTGTGAGTGAGGTGAAAGTGTTGAATGCTGATGAAAGTATTTTCTTTTTGGGGATTTTCTTTCTTTTTGGGTCACCCTGCCTCGGTGGGAGACGGCCGACTTGTCGAAAAAAAAAAAAAATTGTGGTTAAAATGTCTTAAAAGTATCTCATACACACCAAGTGCAGGTAATACAAAAAATATAAGTTTCTCAAGCTAAACCCATACCTGATTTGGAAGCTGTTCAACATAATTGGAGGGGAAGATGCCACAGTTCTGATTTATTATTCCATGCCACCAGTCTCCCTCCTTCTTCACTACAAGAATAGTTTCTCCAGCACTGAAGGTTAGGTCACCAGGCTCTCCAGACTATGCAAAGCAAACTGCTGTCAGATACTTCAAATCTTACTAAATATTTCATACAACTATAATAATCTTAATGCAACATAAAGTTTGACAAATTTTCTTTAAGAAGGTGCAGAGCCTCAGGCAGGAACTTGACATTTAGGACACCTCAAATTACTAAAAACATCTGTTGAGAAGAGTAGGGTACTACAGTACTACCATGGATGAATTGTGAGGAAAATAAAGCAAATATGCAAGCAGATAGTAATGATGGGATCATTCAGACACTTGTTGAGCCAACACTTGAGCTTGACTCTTAGCATCAGCTGTCTGCTATGATCACTAGTCAAGGAATAACTTGCTCCCAAGCATGTCAAATAACTAATATTCTACTCCATAAATTTCCACCATAACTAACCATTAGACTATACTGTTACCCACTTCCTATTAATATTATTACATTAGGTACATAGCACAGTACAACTGTATCATCATCAAACTTATATAAACAATAGTTCTGGCCAAAAAGCTTTGCATGCTATATTTTAAAAAATGTCTCATTTAACAACGTTTTCTTGAAATTCATCTCCGATGTAGTCCTCTTTATTAAACTGATAATAAAAATAATTTAATTAGTTATTTCCTCTAATGAAAGGTGATTAAACACAATCCCCATCATTCATTTTACAGACATCTTTCCAAATATGCACGAACAATACAGTTTAAATGAAAGTTTTAAAATGAATTAGTGCATTTTCATGATCCAAAAGAGAAAGAAAAATGAAGGCATGAAAAATTATTATAAACCACAAATATAATTGCATAATTAACCCGTAAATGGTCCAAACGTATACATACGTTACCAACCACAGTGCCCCAACTTTTTTGAGAAAAAGAAAAAATCATTTGTTTTTAAAAGGAAAAAAGAGCATATGGTACCCAGGCATCCCAAATTATTTTAACATGGCACACAGTGAGTGCGCACACCCATTCTCTCATGTGTAGGCGACTCAGGCTTATCGTGGCAATGATAAATGTATGACCAATAAAACGCATATATACATTTGGGGCACTAGCAGTAAAAACGTATTTATACATTTGGACCGTTTACGGGTTAATAGTAGTGAAGGAGGAGGCAATGAAGTTGTCAATGTTGAGGACCAGGTGTGGTGTGCAGAGAATTAGCAACACAGAAATTAGAAGACAGTGTGAGATTATGAAATATAATATTCAGAAGGCAGAGGAGGGGTTGCTGTGGTGGTCTGGAAATTTAGAGAAGATAGAGTAAAATAGGATAAGCAAGAGGCTTTATAATTCCAGGGTGGAGTGCAGATGGAGTGTGAACAAGGTAACATTTATGAAGGGATTCAAGGAAACCTGTTATCCAGCACTGAGTCTTGGAGGTTGCAAGTGTAGTGCCTCCATTATGTAGGACAGGTGGCAAATGTAGTGCCTCCACTATGAAGGAGAGGTGGCAAGTGTAGTGCCTCCACTATGAAGGAGAGGTGGCAAGTGTAGTGCCTCCACTATGAAGGAGAGGTGGCAAGTGTAGTGCCTCCACTATGAAGGAGAGGTGGCAAGTGTAGTGCCTCCACTATGAAGGAGAGGTGGCAAGTGTAGTGCCTCCACTATGAAGGAGAGGTGGCAAGTGTAGTGCCTCTATTATGTAGGAGAGGTGGCAAGTGTAGTGCCTCCACTATTAAGGAGAGGTGGCAAGTGTAGTGCCTCCATTATGTAGGAGAGGTGGCAAGAGTAGTGCCTCCACTATGAAGAAGAGGTGGCAAGTGTAGTGCCTCCACTATGAAGGAGAGGTGGCAAGTGTAGTGCCTCCATTATGTAGGAGAGGTGGCAAGAGTAGTGCCTCCACTATGAAGAAGAGGTGGCAAGTATAGTGCCTCCACTATGAAGGAGAGGTGGCAGGTGTAGTGCCTCCACTATGTAGGAGAGGTGGCAAGAGTAGTGCTTCCACTATGAAGAAGAGGTGGCAAGTGTAGTGCCTCCACTATGTGTTTATGACACAGTTCTAACCTGCTGTACTTGTTTATGACAGTTCTAACCTGCTGTACTTTTTTATGACACAGTTCTAACCTGCTGTACTTGTTTATGACAGTTCTAACCTGCTGTACTTGTTTATGGCACAGTTCTAACCTGCTGTACTTGTTTATGGCACAGTTCTAACCTGCTGTACTTGTTTATGGCATAGTTCTAACCTGCTGTACTTGTTTATGACACAGTTCTAACCTGCTGTACTTGTTTATGACACAGTTCTAACCTGCTGTACTTGTTTATGACACAGTTCCAGCCTGTTGTGCTTGTTTATGACACAGTTCCAGCCTGTTGTGTTTGTTTATGAGTCTTAACCTGCAGTCATACTGAGAGGAGCAGCCAAACAGTGTGACCTACAGTAGGTGTTATGCTGAGAGAAGCAGAACTACAGCGTGACCTACAGTAGGTGTACTGAGAGGAGCAGAACTAGTGTGACCTGCAGTGTGTTGAGAGGAGCAGAACTAGTGTGACCTGCAGTGTGTTGAGAGGTGCAGAACTAGTGTGACCTGCAGTAGGTGTGCTGAGAGGAGCAGAACTACAGTGTGACCTGCAGTAGGTGTGCTGAGAGGAGCAGAACTACAGTGTGACCTGCAGTAGGTGTGCTGAGAGGAGCAGAATTGCAGTGTGACCTGCAGTTTGCTGAAAGGAGCATAACTATACTGTGATCTGCAGTAGGTGTGCCAAGAGAAGCATAACTATAGTGTGACCTGCAGCAGGTGTCACAAATATGTATGTGTATAAACAGATCACACAGAAGACTCCTCACCATAAACTACTGGCTTAAATAAATAATCCTAAAATCTGCAAGTGTTGCTCACCTAAACTAGTATTTCTTAGGAGTACTTTTCCTCTTGATGCCCTCATTAACTCTACTAGGCACTGATAAGGCTAACTAATGGAGAAAAGAAGAGTCAGTACCCTCCCACACCTGTTTAAAGGCACTCCAGCTTCTAGGGTTGGAGAACACATTCATGTCACAAAGTTTGCACTTAGTTTCCAAACAATGTCTATCAGACTTCCAGCAAGCGTGCGTGAGCGTGTTAGATAGGAGTGAATGGAGACGAATGGTACTTGGGACCTGACGATCTGTTGGAGTGTGAGCAGGGTAATATTTAGTGAAGGTATTCAGGGAAACCGGTTATTTTCATATAGTCGGACTTGAGTCCTGGAAATGGGAAGTACAATGCCTGCACTTTAAAGGAGGGGTTTGGGATATTGGCAGTTTGGAGGGATATGTTGTGTATCTTTATATGTGTATGCTTCTAGACTGTTGTATTCTGAGCACCTCTGCAAAAACAGTGATAATGTGTGAGTGTGGTGAAAGTGTTGAATGATGATGAAAGTATTTTCTTTTTGGGGATTTTCTTTCTTTTTTGGGTCACCCTGCCTCGGTGGGAGACGGCCGACTTGTTGAAAAAAAAAAAAAAAAAAAAAAAAAAAAAAGTCTATCAGATGGAAGTCCAGTGAGTTTCCAGGTCAGTCATGAAAGTATGGAAAAATTACAATAATTTAGTCAATTCATTAAGTCTTTGGCAGCATGACAAGGGACATTGTCTTCCACACTTAAGTTGTCCTGGCAACTCTCAAATTTATCAGGCAGTCTAATAAATGGTTTAGAAAGACACGTAAGCAAACACTGACATATTTATTAGAAAACGTTTCAAAAACATTGGCATACATGATACTTAAGCAGCACCAACCCAACAACACAGGAGTCACATGATTTCCTCGTCTACCCATCCTCATCATAGGTAGAGGTTGTTTTGATAAGGACCTGCCTTGCATGGGCCAGTAGGCCTTCTGCAGTGTTCCTCCATTCTTATGTTCTTATGACATTCCTCAGGTCACATGCGTTACACCTCACTCTCCGCCTATATATATACAGTGGACCCCCGCATAGCGAACTTAATCCGTGCAAGAGGGCTGGTCGTTATGCGAAATGTTCGCTATGCGAATTAATTTTCCCCATAAGAAATAATGGAAATAAAATTAATCCGTGCAAGACACCCAAAAGTATGAAAAAAAAATTTTTTTACCACAAAAAAATGTTAATTTTAGTACACACAAACTGAAAAAGGCATGCACAATTACATGACACTTACTTTTATTGAAGATCTGGTGATGATTGATGGGATGGGAGGAGGGGAGAGAGAGTGTTAGTGTTTAGAAGGGGAATCCCCTTCCATTAACACTTGAGGAGGCAAGTCCTTTTCCGGGGTTACTTCCCTTCTTCTTTTAATGCCACTAGGACCAGCTTCAGAGTCACTGGACTTCTTTCTGTCCATAGAGCTCTGTACCTCCCGTTCCTTTACGATTTGTCTAAAATGGGCCATAACATTGTCATTGAAATAGTCACCAGCACGCCTTGCAACAGCTGTGTCAGGGTGATTTTCATCCATAAAGGTTTGCAGTTCAACCCACTGTGCACACATTTCCTTAATTTTTGAAGTAGGCACAATGGATTCCACAACTGGCATAGGCTTCTCAGGGTTAGCCCCAAACCCTTCAAAATCTTTCTTAATTTCCATACTAATTCTCACCCTTTTTACCACAGGGTTGGCACTAGAAGCTTTCTTGGGGCCCATGGTCACTTATTTTCAACAAACAGAACCGAAAACACTGTAATAATACGAAATATTCCGAGTGTATGCTTGAATGTTACCGCGGAGGCTAGCTGGTAAACAATGGGACAGGCGGCACATGTGAGGCTGGCTGAGGCCGCACATTGGACGCGTCTCGGACGAAGTTCGCTGAGCGGGTTTTTGTCTACTATGCGGGGCAAAATTTTAGCGATCAAAGCGTTCGCTATGCGGAATGTTCGCTATGCAAGGCGTTCGCTATGCGGGGGTCCACTGTATAATGTCTTTCTACCTCTGTATGTTAGAAGTGATCAAGGTCCCAGGACCGAAACGTTTTCTAATAAATATGTCATAGTGTTTGCTTACGTGTCTTTCTAAACCAACTTGTCGGTATTTATTACCAAGGTTTATACCAGTCTAATAAATACTTATGAGCATGTATATTTATGGCACCTACTGTAACAGTAAAGGCATTCAACTAATATCTTCATTCAGGACAAGTGCCAGAAAATTGTAAAAAAAAAAAAAAAAAAAATGAATGTGGCTCCCAAATATAAAAAGAGGGACATACAAGAGGTACTGAACTACAGACCAGTATCTTTAACATGCATACCATCAAAAGTTCTGAAGAAGATAACAAGAAATAAGATATTAGAGCACTTGGATAAAAGATTCTTTATCAAAAGCCAGCATGGATTTATAGATGAAAAATCATGTCTTACAAATTTGCTGGGGTTTCATGACAGTCATAGAAATAAAACAAAAAAGACAGGGTTGGGAATACCTGACTGAGAGAAGACAGAATAAAAAGGGATGAAACATCAGTGTGGTTGAGAGCACTAGAAACATTACTGCTACTAATAAATGTTAATGACCTACCACAGAGGACTGAGCCCTATGTGTCACTGTTTGCTCAATGATGTTAAATTAGAGAGTAAAAACAGGGGAGAACACTGATAATCTCTAGAAACACCTTAAGACAGATGGGTGTATGTATGTATGTGAGAGAGGGAGAAATACAGTACCTGGAAAAGATAGAGAGCTAGAGTAATATATAGTACCTGGTAAAGATAGAGAGCTAGAATAAGATACAGTACCTGGTAAGGATAGAGAGCTTGATAAAACTCAGATACTTCATCATGAACCAAGTTTTCTGGCATTGGTGGTTCTTGAGGTGCTTCCTGTGGTGTTGTCACAGGTGAGGTGACGGCCGCCGCCGGACCAGACACCATTCTTACAAAGGAGCGGGGGAACCAACCTGCTGCAGTGTTCAGCTCTCCATACCACCACTGATCCTGAGAACAACAAACATATGGTCTTTATATGTGGTTTTAGCTGCAGTAAAGTTAAAACCTTGAGAAAGTTGACCATGATTTGCTCCACATAAAATTATCACACTTTGGTATAAGAGGGCACTCCCTCAACTACCTAAAGTCATACCTTAGCAACAAAAGCCAATATGTGTACGCAAATGGAGCAAACTCTTCCACACAGCCAATTACAGATGGTGTCCCACAGGGAAATGTCCTTGGCCCTCTTCTCTTTCTCATTTACATAAACGACCTACCAAATGCATCGAAACTACTCAAACACTACATATGTCTTCTCTCACCCAAGCCCAGTCATACTAGCCAATACTGTAAATACCGAATTACAGAAAATATCTATGAGAGAATAGTTATACCAACACTATTACGTGGGTGTGAAGCATGGGTGGTGAGTGTTGCAACAAGAAGGCTGGATGCAGTGTTGATGTCATGTCTGAGGGCAATGTGTGGTGTGAATATAATGCAGAGAATCCATAGCTTGGAGATCAGGAGGGCAGAGGAAGGGTTGTTGGGGTGGTTTGCATATTTAGAGAGGATGGAACAAAATAGAATGACTTGGGGGGTTTTGTGTGGAAGGAAAGGCGGGGAAAGGGGTCATCAAGAAAGGTGGGGGGAAGGGGTAAAGGGGGTTTTGTGTGCAAGGGGCTGGACCCCCCGGAAGCATTATGAAAATTTTAAAATAGGATAAAGATGGTGGTTTTTATGACTTGATCTTTTGGGAGGTGAAAAGTAATATTCATGAGGGTTTTTCAGGAAAACTGTTAGCGGTTTTGAGCCGGGAGGGGGGGAAGTACAGGCCTGCATCGAAGGACGGGGTTTGATATTTTACAGTTTTTTTAACTTGGTGGGTGTCTCTGGAAAACAGTGTGGAGGGGGGATGAAAATGAAGGTTTCTTTTTTTTTCGGGTCACTCTGTCTGGGGGAAAGGGCCCATGTTTTAAATAAACAAAAATCAAACTTCCCCCATACCTTCCTTCTAATTGAATCCAAATTTCATTACCAAATGTTTTGTTACCCTCATCCCCTTTATTTCCCCTAAAAATTGATTTTCGATTTCCTTTCACATACCTTCCAAATTTTAGTTTGCTTAAGAAATTGAAAACCAGGCAAACTACATCAACTTTTAACTATGACGTGCAAATAAAAATTTTGTTTCTTTGTGTTCCCTTTTTCCACCCCGGGGTCGAGAAGCCCTCTCCAAACTTTTCTCGGGTGAAATTTTTCAAAAAAAAAAAAAAAAAAAAAATTTTCTTAGAAGAGAGAGAACTTTTCCCAATCAAACCCCGTTGAAATTTTGTAAATTATGGAATTGGGCTCTGCAAGTTGGGGGTCTCGCGATGTTTACATCAGTGATTTCCCCCATTTTGACCTTTTAAACAAATACTTAACTATACAACAAACATTTCCTAAAAAATAAAAACAGACCAAAAACAAAGGTTTGGGTTGCCCATGGCAAACCCAGCACCTTTTGAAACCCATTGTTAAAAAACCCCAATTGAAAAGCATATGGCGGGCAAACACAAAGTATTTTTAAACACTATTCATCATCCTCACCAAGAATAAGAAAGCCAAAAACAATATCCAGTAGTTTTTCAGACACAAAGAGGGAAAAAAAAAAAACCTGGAAAACACCTCTCAGATTTAGGGGCCCAAAAACTGAAAAAAAACAAAGAATATTTTCCTAACATAACTAATGAAAAACCACTGCAACCACTGACACAGTAACAAGATAAACGACTTTTTCTCAACCATGGTTCTAATCTCCCAATAAATTCCCCGTATCAAGCCCATTTCCGGGGGTACCTAGATGGGAAATTTCCCAAATTTCCTTCTATCTTCTCCCAAATGAGCCCACGGAAGTCACCGAGATTAAAAGTCACTTAAAAATAACTCGGGAATCGTCTAGTCCCCCATTATTGACAAGAGAGGCCCTTCCCCCTGTATTATCTCATTACTTTTTTTTCAAGTCAGTAGAAACAGCACCCTCCCGAAATTATCAAGGGCAAAAGGGTTACCAATACATAAAAGGGGGTTTACCCCGATTTAAAAAAATATAGGCCAATATCAAACTTACCATTGCTATCCAAAAATCTTTAGAAAATCGTAACAGGGACTGTATTATTTTAAATCACAAAACATACCAACCCCCGCCAAATTTGGGTTCAGGAAAAAAAAGCATAACGATGTCATTAAAAAGCTAGTTTTTTTACACAGCTTGGAAAAAAGGGAAAATCCCCTGGGAAATTTTTTTTGACCTAAGAAAAGCTTTTTAAAAAGTAACCCGGCATCCTACCCCACAAACTTGACCATTATGGGATAAGGGCCCTGCGCTTGCATATTCAAAACTTTCCTTACTAATAGGGATCTAGTCACCATTGAAGAAAAGCTCAACAAACAGCACTTGTACGGGGTTCCGCAGGGAGTGTCCCTTTGGGCCCCTGCTCTTCCTCATTAATCAAGATCTTCCCAAAAAATTCAAAACCTGAACCATTCCTTTGCTGAGAACGATTAGTCATCTCTCACCCTAATCTTTCCCCCTCAACACCATTGTTAATGAGGATGATCAAAATATCGACTTGGATGGAGCCAATAAACTTCCCCTTAACATTGACAAAACCTACTACATTATGTTTGGTACAGACAGGAGATGCGCAAAAATTTAAAATTAGATCGACAACCTCTAAATTTCAGGAAAAGAGGGCAAATTCCTGGCCTATACCTGACAAAACCTGAACTTTAGCACCCATATCAACACATAAACCAAAAAATATCCCCAAAAAAGGGTTGGGGTCCTCTCAAGATACGATACTACGTGCCCCAAAC